TTGTATAGCGTACTTCACCTGTCGCCCACTTTTCCTGAAAACGCATTCCAGAAGTTTTCTAGTTTAATTTTTATCCAGTTATTCTGGGGTAGTTACAACTATTTTGTGACGATTATGGTTCATGGTTTCCTCCCTCAAGTTACATAAGATTTGGTATAGGTCTCGCATATCATTTACTCCGTTAGGGTCCGCTTTATAAGGCAGTAGGAAGATAAATCTCGATTTATTGACCTGTCTTCCACGGCTCGTCGATATTTTAGTCGACATTTCCATGCATTCTACTCCACCTTCTAACATTTGACTACCGAGTAAGTCCGAAATTTCTGGGTATCGGTCGTTGACTACCTTGACCGCTCCTTTTGCTGCCGGGCTAGCAGCATCTGTAACCAGAGCCATGCCCCACTCGTCGCCTGCCTTAAGCGGATTAGGCCCCACGCACTCCGTGGTTTTATACACGCATTCAGGTCATACATTGTCCAAGAGGGTGGCGAATTCTTCGAAGGGACTCCCATTTTCTACTTCCTTGTTAATTTTTATTGCCTGGTAGTCCATGTTCACGTGTGTCCCTACGTCCTTGGTGCTACAGCACGTCTCTCTTGTCGTTGTAGTCGTTTCGACCTGCGTATACGCTTCTGAGGTCTGACAGCCAATATGCTCTGTACGTAGTCCTTCGAACTCGCGTAGCTTTTGCAACACCGCATCCGCAATTCGGGTCATCACATTGACTCCCTTTCTTATTTCAGCCTTGGTATTTGCAGGCACGATGTCAGTCAATTCCTTTCCGGAACGTGACAACTTTTGCATCAGTCCTCTCATTTCCCCCATCAGCTTTTCTTGTTCCACATTTGCTGCTTTCCGACTCTCCTTCGGATGGGTTTCCTCCCGCGCTCTCTTCAGTGGCGAAGATAGAGTCTGCCTCTTGGAGGCGATCGTTGTAAGGAGTCCCTCCTTTCAAAAGGATTGATGCTCACCACATCGTCCGTTATCGTTCCAGGCACTATTTCTTCCACTCCCGCCTGTCACTGGCTAACGGTCGGGCGGGGCCAGAGCGAGCACTACCGTCACCGACCGGTATTGGGGTTTCGAGTCCCTTCTACCTTCTGCAAACGTCTGTCCATATTTTCATATTTTATATATTTTGTTACCGTTTCCATTACCAAGTCGTCATCTATCCACCCATGTCGCCATAGGCGTTCCATAACCATTGCCTCGTCCAGTCCATTGCCAAGTCGTCGTCGTCCGGTCCGTGCTGGTATGCTTCAGCTTTTAAGCGCCCGAAGACCCGCTCTTGCCCTTCCCGTTGGCGATATAACTCACCTTACCTGCCGAACTCAGGGTCAAGTTTGATGAAGATGGGATATAGGACTTGTTGGTTCTTATCTCCTGTAGACTGTGCGCATTACACAAGTGCCTTATTGGAGTGGAGTAGCAGTACCTCACACTCCCCCTGGACCCAGTGACCAACCGTATGCCCACCAGTAGTAGTAGTAGTATTAGTAGTAGTAGCAGCAGGATGGGAAGGCGGAGTCTGGCAACTAGGCCAGATTTGAACATTTTCGTCGATCCCGTACTAACACTGTACTACTCCACAAGTCACCAAAAACCAACTGTAGTGTCATATTTTACTCTCACAAGACCAACAACATGATTCTCTTGAGGTTTAGTACTATTTTTCGAATTTCGGATCCAAGAACAGTGCAAATGCAGTGTAAGTAGTCGAAAATTGCATGATTAGTCAACGGCACGAGTATTACGTATCTTGAAATGTGACTGTAGCAATGGGCTCACAACACTCGCGTGTCAGTAATTCACTTTATTTTGTGTTTATATAATAAGAAATATAACAACGATTCACTATAATTGATAACTGAGTAACAAACTATCGTATGCACAAATAATACGAATAATGTCACCTATGACACATCTGCTGTCTCTCTGACTACTATTCGTCATTGTCTGTCAGAGCGGTCCGTGTCACTGTTCCCCCTAATATCACGACGTTGTCAGTGCCGCCTGTGATCCTGCTACATTCTTCTCTTTTGCTTTCGAGATGCATTGATCCAAAAGCGTACAGGAATGGTTTGACCAAGCTTTATCTTTAGCTTTGGTGCAGCATTTGGTGGAGGTGGACCTCGAGGAGGAGTTATTCCATCTTGAGCCTCTTCTCTACTGCTGGACGATGTCGTTGGACCTGGAGAGGAGGTTCTTTCATCTTGTGCATCTTCCTTCCTCTCTGTTCTTATTAAAACGGTGTCTCCTTCGCTTATGTTTGATACCTTTGCTCACCGCCTTTTATCAGCATATTCTTTTCGTGCCCCGTAGGAGTATGTTCTCGTGGAAACAGTATTCCGTTTTAAACTGTTTATAAGCTTGTATTAGGTTTTCAGATTCCCACAGTTTGTCATTGTCTAGGCATTTCTTAATAATTTGAATTTGTGCATCAGTTTTTGATTGATTGTTTACTTCGTTTATGGTCACAGCGGGAATGTTACTGGTATCCGTAGTGGCAGATACGAGTATCTGGTTGACTAGATATTCAGTGCCGTCTTCAAACAGATCCGTTGGACTGTTTTTGTTTATTGGTAGGCGCGATAAAGGATAGGCGATGTTCGTCTTTCCGGGTTTGTAAACTACGTTGAAATCGTAAGCTTGTATTCGTAAAATCCATCGTTCAACTCGTGCACAGAGGGTGTTTCTGGGAGAAAACAAAAACTTATGATCAGTTATCAAATCGAACGTTTTTCCAAATAAGTATTTGTGAACATGTTCTACTGCCCAGACTAGTACCATGGCTTCCTTTTCGATTATGTGGAATTTCTGCTCTCTTTCGGAAAGGCTGCGGTGGCCGTACGCGATGATTCTAGGTCCGTCTTTCGAGTTTTGCCATAATACGGCTCCAAGGCAGAGTGAAAACCAAGGACTGAGTCATCCGTTAAGATTTCTTTTAGTTTCTTGAAGGCTGATTCTTGCGATTTTCCCCAGGTAAATTTGTTGTTTTTGGTTACTTGTCTTAGTGGATGTGTTTTGGTAGCTACATCAGGAATTATTCTTGAAACGTAATAAATAAGGCTTAAGAAGCTGCGAACTTCTTCTATAGATTTGGTTCCCTAAACCGTTGTACCGCATCAATTCTGGCTAGCGTTGGCTGCACCCCTTTTTTGAAATCCTGTGGCCTAAAAATTCAATATTTGGCATTTTTATTTTGCATTTATTCTCATTTAAAACGACGTTGTAATCTGTTAATTTATTTCTGATTAATTTTAATCTTATATCGTGTTGTTCCTCGTTTTCGGCATAAATTAAAATATCGTCGATGTAAAGAAAGAATCCATTGTATTCCTTGCGGATTTGTTCAATAGTCCTTTGAAAAATCTCAGGAGCGCAGGAGATTTCAAACATCAGGCGTTTATATCTGTATAGTCCTCTACTTGTGATGAAAGTTGTTATGTGTCGGGAATCGGGTTTAATCATTATCTGGTGAAATGCTTGCTTAATATCCAAACTAGAGAAAATCGTACAGTTCTTCAGCTTAGATAGTAGGTCTTCAATTGTGGGCATTGGATATTTTTCTCGGAGAACTGCTTTATTTGTTCGTCGCATATCGATGCATATGCTTATATTTTTGTTTGGTTTGCAGATGATGACCATGGGGCCATGGGGGAAACAAATCCAGTATGATTTTTACAGGTTCAATTACATCACTTTCCAATAGTGCGTCTAGCTTTTTATCTACTGCGTCTTCAAGACGAATTGGTGTACGTAAGTGGTTGACTTACAGGTTGGATATTTTTATCTATGGGTCTATCGACTTCTATACCCTTTATAGCTGCTAGTCCTAGTCTTGTCAATTTCCTATCGTAGGTTATGTTGCGGATAGCAGAGTTAAATTTTAAAATTCCTAGTGCAGTTTCTTTTCCGATAAGTGACATTTTACCACCTTTAATAATGTAGAATTTCTCATTAGAGCTTGTCTTATGTATGTTAAGAGTTGCAGAGAAATATCCTATATTCATTGGCAGCACATTCAGTAATGTTTTTCTCACACAGCAAATATCACTGATTTTATACACGTGCAGACCAATACGCTTAATCATCCAGATGCGGTCTTGCTATTCGACCAACTTTCTTCTCAGAGATGAAAACTACAGACTACTCGGCTTCACAAAGCATATGCAACCAGCAACGCGTGTACTTGAGTCATTCCTCCATAGATGGTCGCTCAAAACGATCCTAGTCAGCAAACGTGGAATGACTGGTTGCACCCTAAAAACTACCTAGTTTGCAAGATGACATTTTATTGGTTTTGTTTGTTGCGCCAACAATTCCGGGTAATTTATTAAGGTTCTCGAGGTGGTCTTTGTCATAAGCCAGCACAAGCGATGAGCCGTTAGGTACAGAAAGTACTTTTTAATCTGCATATAGGCTGTCGTATCACCGGTACCAATACATGATGTATCTTTTGGAAATAATATTGGAATAAGGGCAAATGTACGTGGAAATATATGATGTGTGAAATGCATATTAATAGGTACAAATCGATATTCTGCCAACCCCTACAAACCCCAACTTCTAATTTTTCAATGTCTATAGAAATTTTGCTGAAAATGATCAGGAACCCCTGAAACGCAAATACGAGTGATTTGTCTGCCTTTTTCACCTCTACCTCCACCGACACTGGACCGCTTTTCAAAAATTACAAACCTTTTTTTCCTTGGCATAGTAATAAAACCTGGTGCGAGGATTTCGTCAAAATTCGAGTGGTACCTTTAAAGTTATGGATGGGCCAACGAGCGGACAGATGCAGACAAGCCAACGAAAATGAGCTTCATGATCTGGATATCATATAACATCAAAAAACATCTCATTTTCGAAATTATTCGCCATTATAGTTCCTTCTCAGTGGCGAGGAAAGCAAAAGTATAATTTCTACAAAACTAATCATTTCATATAGAATGTTTAACTGGGTTATACAAAGTGACTCGTTCCGAATCGAAAAGTTGATAATCTGGGGTATTGGATATTTGTAATGTTGTCAAATTATAGAAATTCTATTTTTAATTCCTGACGTTATGCAAGTGGAAAACAAAATGTTATAGAGTAGACTAAAAACTCTATTCTCTCTTTAAAAAAAAATATGTAATAAAATTATAAGAAATGCTGATAACTCCAAGAATGGCTTGCGTCAGCTTCAAATGTATGTAAATATAGTGTGTTTGTGTGTTGTCTCTACTGCCACATTGTTTTCCCTAACAATAGATTTTATACAGTATTCCTAAAAATAGCAAAAAAGGACACCTCTCATAATTATCAATCACCTAGAACCTGTAACTCTCATCGGGCAAGATTGGAGCAAATAATTGCTTTTCTTACTTTCCACAATTCAGTAATAGTCTTCATACCAATCATCGGAAAATTTTAAATCAAAGATACTTGCAAATCGTGGTATTGTTTTAACCGAGTCGAATAAACTTAGATAACGTTTTGATAGTTCAGTTTGAATTCTCTTTAAAAAAACAATCAAATCTCTCACTCTCAAAAAATTCCACCTACGTATGTACATGGTCTGTTGGCAAAATACAAACAAACATGTTTTGATAGTTCAATTTGAATTTCCTATTTAAAAAAAAAGGATCAAATCTCTCAATCTCCAAAAATTCTGCCTACATATTTAGTCTGCTGGCAACACTGTATCGGAAATCACTGGCACACTTGCTATGGCCAAAATTACAAATGTCACTCAACACTCGTGACACTGACATTTCTGTTAAAAGCGCCGAGCGGCCGAGCCACAAATTATCGAAATAAATTGTAGGGCTGTTGTTGGGGTTAGGAGCGCTAATTACTACGTTTTACGTGCGACGTTTTCGAAAAAACAATAAAACCTTCATCTAGAAATCTATAGATAGTAGCCCAGTGTTTTATAAATCAACAAGTATAAGAGTGGTCATGCTGTATATATTCTAATAATAATCAGAGATATCCCCAACATCAACAATGTAGTGGTGGATAGTCAGGAACCCACTTAAGGTATTTTTTTTAGTTAAATTTAGATTATCTTTCATCTTATTATCTGGTATTGTTATATGGCAATTAGGTCTTCCCAATATCTTTGAAAAATCACGCTGGAAATACATAGATTATGGTAGCTACAGCTAATCTAATTATAGTATTTTTGAACCTGTTTTTAGAATTCACTGACACAAATATGAAGCCGTAATTATCTAAACGAATCCATCTAACCTACATCCGTAGTATGGAAGACGAACTCGACGACAAAATCATTTACCAAACATACATTTCTCACATGAAAATAATGTCACGAATAGCATGGAGTGTACCCCTCAAACTGTCTCATGTAACATTCAACTCACACATATGGAGATTGCTGAAGTTTTACATGCTAAAGCCAGAAGTTGTCATTTTTGGAGCAATTCTCATTATTATATTTGTCTATATGCAAGCAGTAGATGTATGGAGTCGTAATTTGTTAGGGAGGCTCCAGTACACCATCAACAGACCAAAATCAAAAGTTGAAAAGCTGAGCTTTTTCACCAATACTGATGTTGAAAGCTTGAGCTGGCAGATGAAAGTTGGAGCTGTAGCAGCATTTGCAATACAAGGGCGTAGGCCGAAAATGGAGGACCGATTTGTTATAAATGACAATATCAACAATACTGGAGTTGCTTTATTTGCTGTCTTTGATGGACATGGTGGCGAGTTTGCTGCAAACTATGCCAAAGAAAAATTAACTCAGAATTTATTTAGCAAAGTTGTAGAGATAAAAGACATTATATCAGGGAAAGTAACTCGCCCAGCTGTGGTGAAAAAAGACTGTGATGAAGAAAAGAAAGACCCAGAAAAACCTGTGACTCCTTCTTTGACAGAACGTAGGAAGAGCTTTAGGAAAACTAGTTCAACAACAGATGAATGTATGAAAGAAGTAAAGGAAATCACTGATCTTGAGATATTACAAAAACTTGATAATCTGAAACCTATCACTAGAGGAAGTAAGCCATTAAAAACCACTCCTAGTTTCAAAAAAGTACCAATCACCAGTTACTTTGATAAACATGGTATTGTGAACTATGAGAAACTTCTCACAGATGAAGTGCTAGCAGCAGATGAAAATTTGCTGCAAATTGCAAAAAAGAGCATGGACGTTGCAGGCACCACTGCCCTTATTGCTGTGCTAGAAGGACAAAAGTTGATTGTAGCGAATGTAGGGGACTCTAGAGGTGTCATGTGTGACAGCAAGGGCAATGCTATTCCCTTGTCTTTTGACCATAAACCCCAACAAATGAGAGAAAGAAAGAGAATTAAAGAGGCTGGTGGTTTTGTTACTTTTAATGGAGTGTGGAGGGTGGCTGGAATTCTAGCTACTTCTAGGGCTCTGGGTGATTATCCTCTTAAGGATAAAAAATTAGTCATAGCTGATCCCGATATACTCACTTTTGATCTAGATGATCATAAGCCTATGTTTTTAATCCTAGCATCAGATGGTTTATGGGATACATTCACAAATGAAGAAGCTGTCAGTTTTGTTAAAGAAAGGCTTCATGAGCCTGATTATGGTGCTAAAAGCCTTACTTTACAATCATATTATAAGGGATCTTTGGATAATATCACAGTTATCATTATTAATTTTAAAGATAATGCTTTCAGATCTTATAGTATGTAAAGTGTTATTTTATATATTTTAATTGTTTTCTAGTTATGTATCCCTTTTTATTGAAGCTTTAATGGCAGAATGTATTTTGACTTTTCTTGAGCAGCTATGAGTCCTGATTAAAAAAATCAGAACATACTGTACTTGTTTGCACCACCTTGTCATTCTAGTGTATCAGATGAGGTAAAAGCTATTTTACAATAATGTACTGTGTACTATGTATTTTTTAAATCTGCTTGTATTTTATATTCAGCCCATTGACTGTATTGGGCCATTCAGTGTCTAAAAGAGTAACCCTAAAGTTAAGGAGAATGGAATTCAGCATAAATCATTTTTTGTTCATACATTTTGATTTTTTATCCAATTTGTATTTTTTTATTGTTTACATGAAGTATTTGAAAGGTATCATAGGTCTTCAATTTCCTTTTCTTGTAAGATCATGACTTTCTACAAATGAGCAAATTCCTTTTTGATGTATTTTGATTCATGTTAAAGTGATGTGATGAAATTTGTAGTTGGACACTATTTAATTCCTGCCAGATCTAAGACTCTTTTGGTAATGTAAGTGAATTTTGGCAATCACTAATACCACATATGTGAACGTTAATCTTATTTGAACGTGAGCGTTTATGTAAGGGGTATTTGTTATTGTAAAAACTTTATAATATCCTATACATGTAATTTTTGTAAATGGTGTATCAATGTTTCTTGTGTACAAGTACCTGAATATTATGTCATAGGTGCTATTTTATGTAAAATCGGAGTGGTGCCAATCAAATTATGATCATTGTATGAAAGGCTGTCAGGTTTGTTATGTATTGAGAATATAAACATGCTATTAAACTTTTCCAGTGTTTTATTTAACACATGATATTCTTAAAAAACAGTGTTGTTTCCACATAAAAAAGAACATTATGTAATATACATATAAATAATGACAATTAGTGTATGTACAACATGTAAATGCATAACAAAACAGCATACCAAGCATCCAATAGCTATTATGTTCGCAAATATTTTTAAAAAATTCTAGTATTATGAATGTCTAGCTAACTAAAGTATTTCAAACTCTTGATCCGAGTCATATTGCTGCCCACCTTGATAATCTGCAAAGATGTGGAGAACTGAGGTGAGAACATAGTATTTACACGTCACGTGAACTGATAGGAGTTACGCAAACGTAAACTCACTACACGGAACCTTATTATGCAAAGAAAGGTATTTATTTAGATATGTATTTGTACTATTATTACTAGGACATCAATGCTTCCGTCATTGCATCATTTTAGAATTTGATGTCTGGGTGCGTATGTCTTATGACTTCTCGAAATGTGACAATAATATTTCCGCCTTTAGTCTATTTGGAGTGCTGTTTTAAAGTTTAGAGGATATATATTTGTATCTGGGAACGATGACAATATTGTGGACAATGTTGGAAATAGACGTTTTTTGGCCCCCTCTCAGAACGCAAACCTAGTGAAAACTATTGTTTATGATTAGAAGTAGTCAAAAATACTTATTGGAAACCCCAAAAGTGTGGATAATTGTATTGCGTCATCCCTGAAGTAGATTAATCACCCCCAATGGAAAAATAAAGTCTTTAATCAATTCTATGGGTAGAAATTCTCATAAACTCATAAAAAACCCATAACTATTGTTTATTACTAAAATTAGTCAAAAATGTATATTAGAAACCAGGAACATGATGTAAGAAAATCTAGTTAATCCCCAAGTACCTTATTCAAGAAAATGAGCAATTATTAAAACAATATGTAAATACAAACTTCAAAAAGCTGAAAAGGTCAAAAAAGATATGACACCACTCTCAAACTAAGGAAAAAAAATGTTGGGATTTGTTTTTTTTAATATATAAAAAATAGCAATAGTACATGTTAAAAACCTATCGATTTTCGCCTTCCTTGGAAACCATTTCTGGCTATTGGGGACAACTCCAATAATGAATGGTATTCTGATCCAATCCAAGTCGAGACTTATATATTTACAAAACTATTCACAACCGAAGGTTTTTCTTGTAGTTTTACAATGGTGCGATATCTTTTTATGAACGTTCAAGATTTTAGATTTTTATATTTATACATGGTGCGATATCTTTTTATGAACGTTCAAGATTTTAGATTTTTATATTTATACATTGGTCTATTAATTGTTCTTTTTCTTGAATAGAAGTATTCTTCTACGAAAAGAGTGAATGCACATTTTCACGTAGTTTTGGTACTACCTATTTTGGGTATTTTTTTATGAGCTGTTTGGGTTTCTCTGTACTTATCGAGTTTCCAATAACTACTTCTGATTAAAAATAATAGTTTTCACTGCACTGCATTCACAGAGGGGACCAAGAAACGTCTACTCAAGGCACACATTTTTACAGCTTCCATAATTATGATCTGACTATATAGAGTTTTACCAATATTTACATTCTACAGGAAGAATGTATTACCTGCAAACGATGTTGTAGCTGCCTCTACAGCATTTTCTAATGTTGGCGACCATTCTTCTGGTTTACTATAAGTCACTTCAAACATTGGCTCTTTCTCTGGATCTATTAGATCTAACTTCACCCTCAGACATAAGTCATTAAAATCTGCTTCGGTTTTACAGAAAAAGCACTAAAAAAATAAGGGCATTGGGTATGTATCCTTTATTGGCCTTATCCTTTTCTATGATAGGAAAATTATGTTTTACATACCACTGCGACAGATGGGTCCATCTTAAGCATATTGATTCTAGACGCGTATTTACAGTGATAGGTCAGGTCCACTTCAATCTGTTCCTCTGTCTCTTTATTTTCCACAAATCCGGTTTTTTGTGTGTTGTGCGGGTCTAGGTATATCACTTCCTTTCCAACACAACCAATGAAATACAAAGCTACATTTGGTTTGCCTCCTATAACTCCTAAACTTTGTTTGAACTGGAAACATTTCTGAAAAATAATAATAATTTTATTCACTTATAAATATTATGTTGTAGTCAACATTCATATACGCAAATAAACTGAATAAAACATAGAACTTCGCCTTTCTATGAAGGATGGTGTACATTTCTTAAAAAGGCAAAACTAATAATTCATACATCAAGCTGATTTTGTATAAGCAGGGTTGAATTTCGGTCAGAAAACTATCTGTGTGGATCTCTGTGATGGCCATTTCCTAGTTGACATTGAATTTGCAATTTACAATACTTGACCTACTTGGGAAATATATTTTCATTCAGACCACAGATATGCAATGCTTTTAGAATTTTTTTGACTGCCATTGAAAATTTCCATTCTAGTTCTCATTCGCTACAAACGCGAAACATAGAGACAATTTGGAGTAAATTAAAAAATCATCATCAAAAAATTCTGAGGTGTCATGGTGCCAAATTTGAGGTAAAAATGTGCTGCCTCTAATTTTCTGTCAGTCCAGCGCAGAGCTTCCATGATATTCAATATCTACGCATCCCATTTACTCACAAATCAAGTTTTTATCTACAGGGTGTCCGCTAAATTGCACGACAAAAAAATGGGGAAGATAGGCGAAAGGCAGATCTACAACATAACAAAATATAACCCTAGTAAAAGATTCACTGTTTTTTAGATATTAATTTTTTGTCTTTATCGAATTATTTAAGTAGCATCATTTTTCCCTGTCTGCAGTCCTGATTAAACAGGTAATTGATCGCAGTTCTTTGCAGTAGCAGTCTAGTACATTTTTATTTTGTGGCTGAATACCAAAGTTGAGTAAAACAGTTTTCTAAATTAAAAATTACGAAGAAGAAATTAGTTTGTCAACTTTACCTAATTATATTTATCGAAATGGCAGACCAACTATCTGAGAATATTTCACAAAAAAACAAAAACAAACAGTTATCCCGTTATTTCTAGGCACATCAACAAAAGATAGATTAAAAGATTTTCTAAAAAAAAATTTATATACCAAAAATAGTGGAACTTTTACTAGAATCATTTTTTGGTGTGCCCGTCGCCTATCGTCCCAATTTTTTTGCCGTACTATTTACCGGACACCCTATGTATCACAGATACGCAAGTCTTTTTAAAATACCCATAATATAGTCAACGCCAAACAAAGTGGCGTGCACGCCATCAAGGTGGGTGTGTTGAAAAATTTACATTGTTGCCAAACTTTTTGTAAAATAATAAAATTTATTATTTACATATCTAGGTTTATAAGCAATATTAACCTCAAATGAGAACAAAAATAATAGTATAATAAAATTATAGATCTGTACTTGCATAATCATTAAGTATGACAATTATTGATCAGATGACACTATGAAACTACCATATTTAATTGATAGCTTAAAGGTACTGAATAAAAATCCAAATGGGGTCCTCCAAATTTTATGCATGGTATTTATTTTACAGAATTCATACAGAAAAATGCATTCTAAAATTAGGTAAGCTACTGGTGTAAGCTTTTTCTGTCCATAAAGTTAGTCGGAGTTTCTTTCTTCAGCGCTGTCTGAATCTGAATCTTCATCACTCTCAAAGTTGATTATTAAAGGTTCGATGTCTGGTCGATCAAAAATTCGTTCTCTTTCATACCATTTAAAAATTTCTTGCTCAGTATGTCGAACACTATTTTTCCACATGTCTGGGGTAACCGTTTGTAGAGCCTCGTTCCACATATCCAAACAGTCTTTTTCACTGTTACCATCTCTACCAATATGTCTGTTATAGTAACCTTTTGCTATGCCCCAAATTAACTCAATATTGTTAAATATACAATGGTAAGGAGGCAGACGAAGAACTTTGTGCCCATGTTGTTCCGCCAATTCATCAATCACGTATATTTTAGGTGGTTTGTTTCTAAAAAAGCAGTTATTTTAAGAATAGGAATAAACAAAAGAAATATAAACTGTCGACCAAAATATATATAATTAAGAAGCATTATGTACCGAGCAACAATACTCAATAGCTCTGTTTTAAACATTGTGTTTAAAAATGGTATGTTTTGATTTGTCAACCAGTCTTGGATATTTTTTTTTGTCCATGCATTGTTGGGCACTTTGTTCAATATCATGCTGTGATAAGGGGCGTTATCCAGTATAATCATAGATGGACTCTCCAATTTTTCTAATAACTGATGTTGAAACCATTTCAAAAAATTGTCCTGGTTCATCTCTCCATGGTAATCGCTCAATTTTGTTTTCGAAGAAAATATCGCTTCACTACCCTCAATAAACCCATTTTCATTTCCAGCATGTAATATAATGTATCTAAAATATATAAGTTTTAAATTTTATAGTGCAAATTGTGTAAAAGTACATACCTTTTACCATCTGTTTTAATAGCTTTCACGCTTTTTTGGTTTCCATTTTGCCAAGAGCGACCTATGGTCCCATTTTGAAATATCCAAGTTTCATCGAGGAAGACAAACTGGTATAAGGCCTCAACCTTGGCTTGATTGTATTGCCTTAGAAATTCCACCCTTTTCAAAGCTATACTTGGTAGTTCCATGAGCCCTCGTCGCAGATTGTCCTTAAGCCACTTAAATCCAAGATCTCTAAGCAACCGCCTTAAAGACGTGGCACTACCATCAAATAATGCCCTATCTCTTAATCGAGACCATAAAGTTTGTATCGTAACTTGTTCTTCTGAAACCATTTGTAATATGACATTATAATTTAGTTAACAAATTAATGCAAATTTCTGATAAGTTATTATAATAAGATCTTACTTTTGTGATACATATTATAGATCACTTCTCGAATGGCACTTGTATCCAATGTCGCTGTGTTGGTTACACGTTTAATATAACTCCGCTTTTTCTTGGGCGATTCTAAATTTGCATCACTTTTCACACCCTCGGAAATACGACTAACTGTCCTTAAACTAATTTTTAAAGCAGCAGCAACACGCTACAAAAAATGAAATAAAATTTCACTATTATTAATATACATTACATATAATTATTAGTAACCTACCTCTTGAACAGCATTTAAAGGCAACAAAGGCCCGTTGTTGTCCCTTTCTTGCTCAAAGTAGTGCATTAACGAGGCCACGAGTTCCTTACACCGTCTATTTAACTGTTTGGGCATCTTTATATACCAAAATTGCCTTTATCTACTCGTAAAATGAATAATTTTGTTTTGAAACAAACAGTTGTTGATTTACAGTATGCGGGGCCAAAGGATTTATAAAGATTTGAAATGCCACAAATTGATTCAGTGTCAAAATTAATATAAATGTCAGTTCCCAGTTTAAATAAGTTTCAAGGTGACAATGTGTCAACGCTGCGAAATCGGTTTAGTGCGTTTACATGTCGATAAGTGATTGGAGCGTTTGCAAAACATTTTATTTCGCATAATGCGTCTAAATTTATCAGAAAGCAACTTATGTGATATTTTAATAACAATGTTTATATGACTATTAACCATAATAAGAGAGTAATGACCATTTTACAATTTATATATCACATTAATATGAAACTGCAATAGAGCAATTGTTTGTGATAAAAACCTAGGCATTAGGTCGGGGAAATTTTATCGTGATGACGTGCACGCCACTTTGTTTGGCGTTGACTATAGGTCATATAATAGCTATACAAGTATGTCTTTGTCAGCATCTATTTTTGTTATCCATGGCTACATCTACCACAAAGAAACTTGGCAAGTTTGAGTAATTTGGCGCGTAGACTTATTTTGAAAAAAATTACAGTATTAGGCGTGGGGAATTAAGTGCTAATCTTATTGTTTGAATTTTTGAAATACTTAGATTTCCAATAATAATCTATGTGCTACTTGGTTATACATGCTACTTACTTGTAAGCCGTTAATGTATATGGGATTAATATCTGTTAGTCCTAGTCTTAAAGGCACTATTAACAATAATGGTTTCCACTCTGACCTAGACAGATTTGTACCATCCAGTTTTGTCTGATATAAGCATAGCTCTCCTGCAAATAAAAATAGACTACATTTGAATTCAAGTAAGATATCAAAAAACTAGATTATGTTTCTTCCTGATACAAAGATTTTTTCTAATAACTTTCATTGCAGGGCCCCCAAATTTTTGATGTCTACAGTTTTCACTATAGTGAAAAATAATATTTGGTTACTTGAAGGTTGATACTTACTTATCTCACTAATGACTATGGCGTTATCTAATGCAACATGGATAGCAAGTCTACTCCATTCATCATATGCTACCAATTTCCTGAAATATAAAATGAGGGTGTAATAGAAGAAACTAAATATTTTATATCATAAATTAGTTTTTAAAAACAATAGTCTAATCATATTAGACAAAAATACCCCTGGTTTGCGAAATATTGATGAGAGTTGTTCAATGGGGTATTTAAATTATGGTCACATAAAATGGGTACACCAATTTTTGTGGGAAAACTTTTTATTCGACAACATAGAATGAGAAACCGTGTTTTTTGGGATTCAATCGAAAGAGTTGGCAGGAACGAAAAAACGCTTCAAATAAGATTTTTAGCTATTTATGAGACTCACAGAATGAGACCACACGTAAAAAGATCCGACATAAAAAAGTTATGGCCGAAAACCGAGGCAAGGTGCAGGTTTCAGCACTTGTTGGTAATGCGACGATAGTTTCACGCAGATACTTGAAACTCTTCAAATTCAAAGGCTTCATACTTATAAATGACGACAACAAAATTGGGGTCGATTGATCGAGTTATTTTTGAGAATTTTTAATTGTTTATCCCCTTCATTTTTCGCATAAGAATAACTATTATCTTTCGGAATGATTTGTGATTCATGTCGGCAAAGTAAACTCGTGTATTTCGCTATAAAATGCCCTTTGAACGAACCCTGTATATTGCTCAGTAAACTAGTAGTGATGGCCGGAAGACAGGTGTTTTGGAATAAACAATTACAAAATCTCAAAAACCACTTGACCAATCGACTCCAGTTTTGTTGTGGTTATTTAGAAGTATGAAGCCTACGGATTTGAAGAATTTCAAGTAGCTGCGTGAAATTATCGTCGCATTAGCAACAAGAGTCATAACCTGCATTTTGCCTCGGTTTTCGGCCATAACTTTTTTACTATTAGTCGAATCTTTTTAGGTGTGGTCTCATTCTGTAGGTCTCATAAATACCTAAAAATCTTATTTGAAGAGTTTTTTGGTTCCTAACAAAACTTTCGATTGAATCCAAAAAAACACGGTTTCTCATTCTTCGTTGTTGAATAAAAAGTTTTCCTACCAAAATTGGTGTACCCATTTTAGGCATCCATGTTTTAAATACCCCTTTGAACAACTTCCATCAATAAAACCAGACTTTACAAATATTTTGGGGAAATTTGCTAATCTGATTAGACTACAATTGCATTGTTTCTTTGCTGTTGATAGGAATTTATTTGTAAACAACTATTGATCTTCTGATGAAAAACTGATGCTAAAAAAGGAACTTTTAAATGATTTACGTTATCAACGCCAAGTAGTTGCTTAGAGTAGTTATTGCTTGAATTATTGATTTTTCGATCACTAAGTAATATTGTTTGTTATTTGTATTGAACACCTTAATGTTGGTAGGACCTTGATTGTAAATAGGTATTAATAGATTATTAAAGAGCAACAGCCAATCAGTTGCGTAGACTACATTGTTGCTTGAATTGTTGATTTTTTAGTCACAAAGTTATATTTGTTGAAATGATCACTTGAAATTACTTATGACCTATATCTGATGAGTGATGATTACTCCAAGATATGCTTTTATTTTGCTATGTTTCAAGACACCAAGATAATTAATAATAACATGGTTTACCCTGCAACAGGCAACTAGTTGTTGATGTCTGTGTAGAATTGTGGAGGCCCATCCAATAAATTATTATGAATTACTTTTATAAATTTACAATATGAATAAAAAAATAAACCTTTACTGAAAACCATTAACCTCGGAGGCGCCGTCCGAGAGACTATGAGTAAATAATTTTCCTCTGTGTAATAAAACAGGCAACGTCCCCAATGGCCGCGACCCCTTTTAATCCAAGCCAATTATGTAGGAAATCTGTTGCAGCACAGTCTGACAGATGGCACCTCAGTGTATACGTAACATTTCCATTGTGAACATTTTGTGTTAATATGGCCAGACCGTCTAAACGGGTGCGAGTAGGCGATACTGATTTTGAAGAAGCTTTGCTTAAAGTGGAGTTGATTCGCTGGACGAGAAATGCGCTAAAAGCTCTACAAGTCAGCGAACGCGTAGATGGCCCATGACCATACTTCTACGAATGGTGGATATGACTATTGACAATTCTTATACTTTGCACTAGCACAAGGGGGAATCCCAAAATATAAGGGAAATCAATATTTGCATAGCAGTTAACGAAACAAGTAGTTAACCATTTATGCCCAAGAAAAAAAAACGTATGAGAAAGTATCTATGTTTCCAGTGCAGAAAGCACATATATCTACAATGCACAAAACAGGCTTGCCAGATTTGCACCAAAAACTCTAAACTTTGAAATGTGCTGGAACATCTTCGTTATAAGTTTACATTACGTGCTATTTTTTTCTATACTTTTTGTTACCTTTTTCAACATGAACCGAATAATAAAAGCATTAAAATGAAACCAGTTTTTGTTTATTCATAAATGCTGAGTATAGTTGTAAGCAAATGCTATGTAATCACAAATCAGGTAAGTATTTAAAGATACCATCTCATTTGCTACTCTTTTGATATCCCAAATAATACTCAGGAACATAGGTTTCAAATTTGTTATTACTTTTTTTGATATTTTGAACATACTAATGTCACTAGTCCCTAAGACGGCACATCTGAGTTTATGTTCCGCAACTCATATCTCCAGGATTGAGGGTTAAATAAAGAAACATACTTTAAAACCTGAGCTACTGTATTAGGACCAAACCACTGGCCAACTGATTTTCCTAGGGATGCTCCCATGAGAGCAATTTGATGTATGGAGTAAGGGGCAGGTCGTCTTTCTTGAAATTTCTTAAGTATCTTTAAATATGTGGGGTCTCTTGTCTGTGGATCCCAGAGCCAATCTCTGCCCAAATGGAGTGTAACCAGAGCATTAGCCAAAACCATTTGACCACATCTTAACATACAGCCCCATCCTTTGTCTGAAGTAAGTCCTTCTTCACCACCAATTGGTACAAAGTTTTTACGGTATGTTAGCCATATTTTCGAGACTATATCTTGCCTGATTTTATTCAAATCTGAAATGTCTTTCCGTTTAGTCTTTTTATTTAGCTTGTCGAATTTAGTACCTTGAATTGCGTTGTATTTTTTGCCTAGGATCCAAACGGGTTCTGTAGTTTTTGGGATATCGTCTGGTTCTAATGTAGCCTCCATACAAGCCTCAAACATACAATCCATTATGTCTCGTGTTGCTACGCACATTTAATGTGTTTCTTTTTTTTTGGTTGTGGTGCTTCACGTGTTTATTGTCTAGATAAGGTCATATTCACATTTTTGTTGTAAAATTGTATTGTATACTTTTTGTACCATTCATTCTATTTTGACATAAAATGACGGAACACATCTGATCAACCAGCGGCACAGAATCCAGCGGTTCCCAATCGTTTAAACAAAACATCAACAGCCCACCGTTGCCAGTTGTAAGCTTTTTCTCAAAAGTTCATACCACTTTGCGAAGACGGTCGTAGAAGGCGATACGGTTCCCATTATATCGATTAGAATGACATTGTGTAGGGTTTCTTTTAAAATTGCACCTTTAAACTACCTGCAATTCACTTGTAGCAGACGCGGAATCAACTAGCGGCTACTTAGGGTCGTACCGGCAGGTGTTCCTATATTTGTAGGTCTCCTTATTTTCATAATTTTCTACTGTTTCGTGTCAGCGCTCTATTTTGAGGTTATGTTACAATCGTATTTGCATCAAATTGTTCATACTTTTGATGTATATCATCTTTGATATCAGTCACAAATTTCCTACAATTCAAAAAGAAAGCATAGCCTCACAATAGGAGAGCGCCGACGCTGTCACGGAACAGTATTGAGCTAGCCTTTCTGAAGGAGAGGAAAGACTCAAAATAACGGCGTCCTCTAATTATTTTGGGTCGCCTCTATGGCCTGCTTGATTTTGAAAAACTTTTCTCTCTTCCAGAAAGCTGGGATATTTATAGATTGTTACTGTTCCGTGTCAGCATCAACGGTCTCCTACTGTCAGGTTATGTTTTCTTCTTTAATTGTAGGAAATTTGAGGCTATATAACAGATGATATAAATCAAAAGCATATATGTTACATAACCTCAAAATAGAGCGCTGACACGGAAGAGTAGAAAAATAAGAAAATCAAAGAGGTCATAAAGGCGTCCTACATTTGTAGGAACGACTGACGATACAGCCCTTAGTGCACAAGTTGACATGTTACGGATTTTTCTGACTATATGTTTTTAAGTAATAACCCAGCCATGATTTTGTGTACAGTTTTGGGGATTTGGTCACCTCTGAGAAAATTCACTACCCTGGTCTTCGAAAAGCTTTCACAAAAAGTGTTTTCTTGCCAATGATCGGCTTCCTGGGCAAAACTTCCGCAGGCGTTCATGGTTTTCGTAATCGGATTTGAAAGTTTCACGTTATCAAGTATTCGGGAAGTATTAATATCTTATGTCGTCGGAAAAAAGGAAAACCCCAAGGCAACAGATAAAATATATTTATTTCAACAATCACAATATAGAAAATAGTAATATAAACAAAATTGTACAAATTGAATGTTATACACACTACTTAAAGCTTTCCGAATGATACTTATTTACATTATCCCTGGGATTGAATCGGAATCGTTTCAGTTCTCTTCTAAAATACTCGACAGTTTTCTGAAGCCCTACGTCAAGGATAACCTTGGGTTCCCAGTTAAGATGTACTTTGGCTCTGGTGATGTCAGGTCTGCGCCTTTGGGGATCGTCTTCCACTCCGTTAACGTGAATTATCTTATTGTTTCCACCGACTAGATTTTTTATTATTGTTGCGAATTCTGAAAATCACATTTTCTATTTATACAAAACATCCATTAAATGTGACGAATTTGAGGAACATAAAGGGGCACGCCTACTCTTTGGGGAAGAGAAGCGGAGCTCTTCCGCTGGGATCTTTTACACCTAATCCAATGAAAGCTCGCGCACTTTAGCGATGCGAAGGGAAACGACGTGACCTGTGCATATGAGAGATGCAGCCGCGGTTAACTTTGCGCCGCTACTCTTCAGTGGGTGTGCACCTTTAAAGCGATTAAGTTATATATTGAATGAAAAATGCCATCTAAGGTTTAGGATGAATAGCACAAAATGGGGGCTTGCTCGGATCGTTTAGGGTGGTCGCAAAGTTGGGGCTCTCCTTTACACGACGTGTAGATCTTGAGGAAATAAGCGCATTTCCTTAGTAGCATATACGCCAATGTCTTACGAGAACCGAGATATTGGGGTCCGGAAACTCAATCAAACCTGAACCAAACCGAAGCCGATCCTATCCCTCGATCACGTCCTCACGACTACGATGTAAATACTTTAGTATGCAACCTAACCTAGACGCCGGCAGTGTAGGTCAACAAACCATTACACTGGTCAAAAAATAAAAATGGAACACACCAATAGCGAGCTAGTCGGCATGCTGTTAATTTACGGTGAGTGTCTTCAAAATGCGTTCGAGGCTTCGCGAGTGAATGCAGATCGTTTTCCCCGACGCCATCATCCAAGGCCTCGTACCTTGTGTGTGATACACAGGGATACTGGTCGTCTGCAGGAATGTCGAGGTGGGCACTAGACAACTCCGAATGGTGCAAACTGAGGAAGAAGTACCGAATCTCGTAGACGAGAATCCTTCAACAAGCACTAGGGACGTGGCTCGAGAAGTGCAATGTGTCGAAGACTAAAGTGTGGCAAACGTTGCATGATGAGGGATTGTACCAGTTTCACGTGCAACGTGTACAAGCCCTCCAGGCTGAGGATTTTCCTACAAGAGTGCGGTTTTGTGAGACGTTGTTGCACCAACATGACAATAATCCGGACTTTTTGAAGTGCATATTAGTCACAGTCGAATCCACGTTCACGCGTAACGGGGTGAATAACTTCCGTAGTACTCATTGTGGTCAGTAGAGAATCGGTTGGACGGGATACGATACCTAGACTTTTTACAGAACATTTTATCAAGTCACAGTCATGAGATTGCCAAACAGTTGAATAGTGTAGAAATATATGATGAGCGCTTGTCTTCAATATAAAAAATGTTCACGTTTGTCTCAAAAAAGACATGTGAATTTAATTTTACCATTGATAGTGTGCTCCACTGGGTTGCCCAAATTAACTGGTTGACTATAGTTTGATCTCATTAGTGCTACCAGACCTTCAACTAAGTCTGAGACGTACTGGAACGATCTGGTTTGGTCGCCAGTACCATATACCTATAAAAGTTGTAGAACATTTATGCATAACGATTAACGCTCTATCATTTTAAAAAATGGGATATTCATGTATAATGACCATATTAAAGCGTTTATGAAACATCTGAAACTTATCCCGTTCTCTATGTGCTACTGACATACAAATGAACCCACAGATGTACCAGTATAAGTTTGAATTTCTAATTCTAGGTTTCGCCCAAATACTAACATTGATAAAAAAGTATATTTAAAAATTTGTGAGAACAATCCGTGAAAGCTTTTACTAATTATAAAGAGAAAACAGTTGAGTTTCTGTTATGTTCTGTTTATGTTAACAAAATTTCAGCCTTAATTTTTCTGATTTAAGGCACTAGGCTGAAATAAGCATACAATTTACTATACAAGTACTCATTATTTGTTATGCAAACAGTTGTGGTGTCATTTGTATTCACTGAGATAAGCTCAAACATGTACTAATAAAAATTTACACTCAAATAATACATTTGTTTTATCTCTAGCTCGTCTATTTGTTCAGAACCTGAAAAATATTTAAATATAAATATACGCGATTTCATATCTTTCATTATATAATTTCTATACATCCAATGATGTGAATGACAATTGAAAAATGTTCTATAGCAATACTATCTATCAGATAAAAAAATAATATCAAAACACTGTGAAGTGGTCGAGAGAACTTAAATAATCTTACTGTAATGACTTCATCTTTCAAGGCCTGTAAAATGAAATTAGAGACGACTCTTCCATCATTCATATGCATTCGGGGTCCGTACGTGTTGAAAATCCTTGCCACTCTGACATGCATGTTTTCTTGTTTAGCATACGCATAGGTTAGAGTCTCTGAGACCCTTTTACCTTCATCGTAACAAGCTCTGGGACCTGGAATGTGGAAATGATTCAATACCATCTGAAACACCGATCCATTAAAGATCATTGTCCTACACTTGTGTAGATCATTCAAAAACCCTATATCTAGAAAACTATGGTTTTGCAAACATCTCTACATATGGATTAATGTTGCAACAAAGTAATGTTTGTTTCAAGCATAATTTGTTCCATAGACAATACAAAAATAACATTATCCTTTGTGGAAAATGTAATATTAATCAATTTTTCAAAGTTCTACTAATACCATGAGAGCAGCAAAGTTCTGTGAACCAATATCAATAAGAAATTGTTGTCTAACTGATAAACCATGTCTAAGTTTACTATTGTTTCTGAATATCAAATATTTTCCGTTTTCGATTACAGTGCATACACACGTCAATACGCAAATCGTTGCAAGTTGCAACCTTCATTTCATTTAAGATAATTTTCAGTTTTGAGCCTCTATCTTCCAAATTAAAGGGTTCATAAAATCGTTTTCATTGTTTTTGATGCAAGACAAAAACGAAATGATAATACATATACTCAATTTACCTATAGGATTAACGTGACCCCAATATGTCTCAGGCTGAGGATGGATGTCAGGATCACCATACACTTCTGATGTGCTTGCTATCAATACTTTGGCTTTCAGTCTTCTTGCTAATCCTATAGAAAAGGATTAAAACTAACTAACAAAAATAAAACGCAGACGGTCTTATTGTTAGTTTTAAACTCGTGAAAATTTTCCTTAGTTATCCTCAAGAAGTTATAGTGAAAGTTTGGATGATGCATTAAATTTACATACCTAAGATATTGATGGTACCAAGCGTATTTGTCTTTATAGTTTTCACTGGGTTATGCATATAATGAGGTGGACTTGCAGGACTTGCTAAATGGTAAATTTCATCAACTTCAATGAATATAGGATTGACAATGTCATGATGTATGAGCTCAAAATTTTCATGGCCGATCCAATGTTCTACATTACTTTTTCTTCCGGTGAAAAAATTATCTACTACAATCACCTCATGTCCCTCCAACATGAGTTTATCTACTAAGTGAGATCCTACAAATCCTGCACCACCAGTTATCTGCAAAGAAAAAATAAATTATGACACTAAAAATAAAGCTGAAACAATTCTATGGCTCAGCACAACTATAGCCTTCAGATAGGCTAATAATGAATTAATAATATGAGATACAGAAGATAAATTTTCAAAAATGCTACTTGCACCCTAAGTACAATACAAATTGATGTATTTTTTGGAACACTTTTTTAATATTTTGATGAGTGACATTATTTTTCCCCAACAATTTAAACAATTGGACCCGCTCCAGAACTAGAAAAACAGCCCCAAACCATGGTGTTTCCTCCAGCGTGCTTAACTGATACACTTTTTGTCGAATCTTTTTCGTATTGGACGTCTCGAATATTTGCTTTCAGCGCTCTATAAAACTGTATTCCATTGTTGTTGTTATACAATTTTTTATAAATGAGAGGCTTTTGCACTGGACGCCTACCAAAAAGCCCAAAATCCACCAAGCATCTCAGCACTGTACTGACAGAAAGTTTCTCGGCACCCTTATCTATGATTCTTTTGAAAATCTGTGTGGCTGTGTAGCGATCCAAAACATAATTGGTTTTTTTCTGTCTTCCGCACCTGGGCCGCGTTGCTGTTGATCCCTAATCTTGATATTTACTAATAATTTTCGAACTCGTCCCTTTGTTCAATTTTAATCTTTGAGGAATCTCTACATTTCTGACACCACTTCTAATTAATTCAATCACTTTGTCTCTGAAATCTTTTGTTTTTGCCAATTTCACTGATGTTAATATTTACCGCAAGCAATATCAGAGTTCGCAGAATGAATAAATATGGCAAAACTGAAATGTTTCCATACTTTTGTCATTACAAAAACTGTGGTATTTAAAAAAACGCGTGTTTTGATTTTCAGAGAATTTGAATATTGATAAGCTAACCTTGTATTAGTACAGGAGTCAAAGGTAGACTTTAATATTTATATTATCTGTTCCTTCACAATTTTAATTTAGGTAGAAGAAATAAGTAGTTCATAATAATGTTAATATTTGTTTCCAAACTTTTGTCCGCTACTGTATATGACCAAAGAATGCTAACAATGGTATCCTTTGCTGGCATTAAATGATACAAGGTCAATATGTTGTCATCAATGAATAAGCTTCACAAAAAATAAAATACTAAGATATCTGAAAAACTATATGCCAAGTACTAGCTTTGATTGTATACTATATTTCTAAACAGTACCCAGATGTCAAAACAAACATGTTTAAGTTTGTGCTCCTATTGGCCAGCAAGCCATACATTTCTGAACATAGCAGCAATAAGCGAATTGGAGCAGCAATGGAGTGCTAATATTTGTTTTGAGTATATGAGATATGAATAAATAATACTATATTTCTTAACGAAAACATATAACTTTTCCTATTCTTTACACCCTACAAAATAGAAAAAAAGATGATCAAACAGAAAGTTAAGGGCATAAAAAACTTTGATAAAGTGTTGAAGCATGAACACTTTTTTATAGAGATGTAATTCAAGCTTAAGCTGGACATATGTCATAGCCCTTTAAAATACTAGAATACATAAACCAAATCTTTACCTTGATCTTTAATATATAAATCTTGTTTTCAAGCCTGTGTGTAGCCTTAACCCCTTGAGCCCGGTGATGCATCACTTGCATCATTTCTGTATATACTAGTTCGCGTTTTAATCCGGTGATGCATCATGTGCATCATTTTCATTTGGCCGCCATAAAATTTTATACGACTACGGTATTTGACCGGATACATGCATATACCTCAATTTCTCAGTGCCGTATAGTAGAAAAATTACAAACATTCGATGAAGTTTACCTATATTTTCCCTTGCTTTGTTCGCAAAAAAAAAAGAATCACCATAAGGATATTATTTAAAAGAAATGGTAAAAGACAAAAACGGTGAAAAATGATGAAACAACTTTACAAGAACACTTTATTACATGATTTATAACATATTCATAGGTTATCATGATAGTATGTAAAGTGGTCTAAGGAACACAGTGGTATGCGGTTTTTACATCCAATACAACACTTATACGTGAAAATAGAGCGCTTCTTCTCAATGTTGTAGCATACCCAGCATCTGCGTCTCGTGTTCTGTTCACTACGAACGAGCTCATGTCCTGCCAACCTTGATGTTGATGGTTCACTAAGTTTTTGCCTTTTCGCGTTTTTGTGTTGATCACGCATTGCTGTATAGTCTGAAAGATGTTTGGCAAGAATTTCATCACATAACTGTAATGTGAAGTCTTTCATATCTACTTTTCGTTTGTTTGTAACCGAGTAGAGGACTTTGGCATTCAGTACCATCCTCTGTAACACGTGGATCCCAACTTTCTTGAACCAGGCGTAGCTCTTCCGTGCTGCATTGTATGGTTCCATGTCCTGATCCGTTCCATCAACGGCACCCATATTTGAATTATAGTGATCCACATGACTTGGCTTTTGTAATACTACAACGCGTTTATCGACAACGGAATACTGGTCTTTCTGAACGAAATCAGCGGTCAGTTTCGATGTGATCACATAAACGTCCTTTTTGTCTTTATAACGCACAATCAGTACATCTCCCTTTCTAATAAAACACGACTGTCCTTTTTTCAACTGAAGTTGTGTGAGCTCAGACGGTACGCCCCTGTTGGTTCTAATTGTACCTGTCACGTAAGTCTTTCGTGTCAACAAGAACTCAACTAACATAACTGACACGTACCAATTATCCAAGATCACTTCACGGCCTTCATCAAGTAAGTTTGACAGCATATACACAACCACTCTTTCAGACATCGAAAGCGCATCAGTTCCTGGAATGTGTGCAACGTTATATATGTCTCTACCGATGTACAATGCAAAACTGTAGGTATAGCCTCTAAATTTGGGATCACTAGGGCACAGAGCAAACAGTTTGATTCCAAATCTAGATCTTTTGGATTTGATATACTGTTTGAAATGTAGTCTGCCCTTGTACAACATAAGGCATTCATCAAGTGCAAAAGTTTCGCCTGGATTAATCGCAATCATCGTATTTTCCTTTATAAAAGCGAAGAACATTGCCAAACGGGTCATGGGTCTAGATGGGTCGGTGGCTTTAGGGTCAGAAAAGCGTAAAAATTTCATGATAGATAGAAATCTATCCCTACTCATTATGGTGGCGGAAAAAACTTGGGGTCCAGCCAAAAGAAAGTCTTTTCTCCAGTAATCACTAAGGTGTGGTAAATGGATCAGGCCTTGCATAAGTACCAGAGCAATGAATACGTACATTTCACTAACTGTCACATCACGCCAACGTAATCCGTGTACTTTCATATTTTTGTCAATATTATCAACGAAATATTTTGCCGCACGTTCATTAGTCCATTTGCATAAAAATGTTACAATTGTCTCACTAACAAATGTTTCGAAACATTTCATTGGAGACATCACTTCTTCCAGGACTACAGCTGGATGTACATCATAGTGGAGGGTCGGTTGTACCACATCGGTTAGCCGTTTATCATCCTCAGGATGTGGCACGATAATCCAGCCTTCAAAAGTGACGCATTCGGCTTCCACGTCACTTTCTCTTGAATTATATGAAAATTCATCTTCTTCGTCCGATGCACTGTCATCTACGGGATCATAATCTAAGTCACTGCTATCACTCGACATAACGAAACTTTATTTCAATACTAATAATATAACAAAGCTCAGAGACAACATAGAAAACAAGCCCAACTTGCATAGACTTGAAACTAATAAGCCCGACACACAGTAGAGTGAATAAACCGGCCACGTTGTATTTACTCTCTTTCCACACAGAGAGAAGCACGCGCAATCCAAGGTAATATGCATGTATCTTGAAACGTCGCATCGCGTCGCCAGGCGCAGCGCTGACGATGCGGCCGGATGACAGCGCGCTTGCTGAATATACTGGCCGGGGCGAAGGGGTTAAAAGGAATCATCATCAATCAAGCTTTTTCTGTACTTTTTACAGTTTTAAACACTACTCAAATTTAAAAAAAAAATGAACCTGAGAGCTATTCCAAAGACTAAATAAATATATAAAAAACTTTTTCCCAAATAAAGGATTTGTGATATATATTTTTGAATACTATCACCTTTACAACAATTTGTGCATTTATAACAAATTGAATCTTTTATTAGATGTTAGATCAATGTGTGTTTGTTTATAATATGAATATATTTTTGTAGGGGTCTGTAACTACTATTAAAAAAATATATATACAAATTGGAAAGTATGTATATATTTGTCTGACAAAGTCACAGTAAGGCTGAAGTGGCTTACCTATTTAAAAAGTAATTTAATAAAAACCATAACAACTCACCAGTACTCGTTTTCTGTTCATATAATTCAAAAATTTTACATCAGGGTAAGTTTTGGGTATCCTACTCTCGAGGTGAATGATCCTCTCTTGTAGAGCCTCAATTTTTCGGTATGCTTCATTTAATAGATAAGTCGCATGTTTAACATCTTCTGGGAACTTTAGGTTACTTCCATAAGGATTTTCCTCTAAGTTCTCTGTATCCTCATGTAGAAATTTAAAAATAAATAGCAAAACTGTAAAGAGTTGGTTTTTACGATCTGTACATTTGTAAATTTATTATTATATACTTACTAAAAAATACTCCAGTTATAAAAAGAATTATATGCTTAATTTTAAAATACATCTGGTTCATAATTGTTGCTTTGAACAGCTACATAATTTAAAATGTTTTAAAATCCAGTAGCAAAGAAAATTATATATGACATAACCTGAAAATCCGGCTGACATTGATGGGGATGGAAAATTGGGAAGTGATAAAAGAAAGTACTAGATTTGTAGACTCCTGAACAAATGAATAATCAAATTCAAGCGGATAACCAAATTGAAATGGTATTTACCATTTTGGATTGGTATTTACCGATCCGTTCAAGCGAGTGTGGTTATCAGTTTGGTTATAAGATCCGTGACGTCACGAATCAGCTGTTATATGTCATAGTTATCACTGCAAAATTGTGGTATTTACCCAACTCCGGAGTAGTTTTATATTTCTGGTTATTATTTGACATGTGACAAGTTAGAATTTTGCCGGGTATTGGATATTTTTATTGTACTTCAGCTTCATTTTTGGGAAACTTGATACAGGCTGACTTCAGTTTTAGCATAAGAGAGCACCTTATTATTTATAATCATTACTGTTGTTGGGGACACTTTAAATCTAGTTCCTACACTTAAAAAAGTATCCTGTATAGCCATATACCACAAGAATATTAAAATATGGCCGTATAAACTCACTGGATGATGTCCACCTGTATACGGTTTTGTAATATCTTTTTTTCATCGCTTTTTCATCATTTCTGCTAAATCAATAAATATTTTCTTTGACATGCGGAAAAGTTTAGAGAATTGAAAGTTATCATAGCTACAAAAAACATTCCTCCCATTAATATTATGAAAGTTTCCTTTTTTCAACTTTCCATACCCCGTTGTAGACGAAAAAGCACCGATTATTAAGTGATAATAAAAATAATCAGAAATTATATACGGGTTTTTCTAAAATAAACAACTTGCAACAAACCGCGGTTAAAACCAACGCGTTCAAGCGATTCGAGTAACTGACGTCACCATCCCGTGTGTCATCTTGAACCATATTATAACCGCGGTACGTAATACGGAAATTTTGGTTATCCGCTTGGATTTGATTAATATCCATATTATTTGATGAAATAAAGTTTCCAGTACTTACAATTTTTTTGACGACGTCCTGCTCTACAATATAGACACAGACCTTCTGAACAGATTAGACTGGTTGTCTAGTAATTTTCTGCGTTTGTAAAATAGCTTTTTTATTCATTTTACTTTTTACATGATAGAAAAGTGGTAAGTATTTGAATATACAGGGTGACTTCGAAGTTGAGTCATTTATTTTAACAGTGAGTAGATCTGATCAAAAGAAATGTTTTTTTCCTTTACCATTTTTCTGGTAAAATTAAAGTAACAAAGTTATAGCCCTTTGGAAGTTTGAGTACCGCCCTGTCTCAATAATGATATTATGTTCTCGTGTTTGGCAACAACAGATATAATCCGCCTTATCCGTTCATCGCATCGGAAACAAAAAAGCGAAAGAATTTGGAACGATCTTTTTACAATTATTTTCTTCAGTTGTATACAGTCAGTATCAGTCGGTAGTCGGTAACGCGTAAGTGAATAATCGTGTCTGTTGCGAGGCTCAAATCAAAAATGGCACATGTTTACGAAAATGCTGAACTTGTGGACATGGTTCTTATTTACGGGGAGTCTTTACAAAATGCTGCCGCGGCATCACGGATCTATGCGGATCGGTTTCCCAATCGAGTGCAACCAACCCCTCGTGCCTTTGTTAATGTAGTGCAAAGAGCTCGTGAATCAGGTGACTTAAGACCTCACAGAGGAGATCATGCCGGTGCTCCAAGACCACACGATCAAATAGAACTAGAAGAACAAATTTTAGAATTAGTAAGTGATGATCCAACAGTAAGCACCCGACAAATTTCAACTCAATTGGCGATTAGTCAATATAAAACTTGGAAAACTCTACGTGAAAATCAGTTCTATCCGTTTCACATACAAAAAGTGCAGGCCTTACAACCGGAAGATCATGAACAAAGGGTTGACTTTTGCAATTGGCTTTTAAATAAACATCAAAATGATGACAATTTTTTAAATCAAATTTTAGTGAGTGATGAAGCCCTCTTTACTAGAAACGGAATTATTAATTCACGTAATTCTCACGTTTGGGCTATTGAAAATCCCCATGAAATAAGGGAAACCAATTTTCAACAGCGATTTGAACCAATCAACCTGTGGGCGGGAATTGTTAATGGAATTTTAGTGGGGCCCTTTGAATTACCAAATCGCTTAACTGGTGAAAATTATTTTGATTTCTTGCAACACAATTTGCCTGGTTTACTGGAAGATGTGCCTTTAAATATTAGACAAAACATGTGGTTTTTACAAGATGGGGCACCACCCCATTATGCAAGAAATGTGCGTGAATTTTTAAATAGACAATTTAATAATCGTTGGATCGGCCGTGGCGGTTTTGTACCTTGGCCGCCAAGGTCTCCGGACTTAAATCCTTTAGACTTTTGTTTGTGGGGTTGGCTAAAAACTCTAGTGTATAAAACACCGGTTAATACACGCGAAGAATTACGTGCTCGAATTGAGGAAATGAGTACAGTGATCAGAAATCAACCAGTGATTTTATTGCGTGCTTGTAAAGAGACATGGCTAAGACGCGCCCAGCTGTGCGTCGAGCAAAACGGAAATCATTTCGAACAGTTTTTGTGACATGCTTTTGGGCGCACAGGTCCGCACTGAAATACTTGTCGGGAGGATACTTTATAAAACAAGGTAACATTTTTTTTTTAATTTTTTTTTATTTTTACACACATATTTTGGTTTATCTTCCTTCTACAATCATTATCTGAAAATTAATGACTCAACTTCAAAGTCACCCTGTATATAACTTTTAGAAGAATACCTGTTTGTGTACTGAGATAAATAAAATTATGGTCTTTTGTGCTTAAATGAACAGCGTTTTATTTAGAGTCTCTCAACACCTGTATTTGCGATCTATAGTTTTGATATTTTTTGCTGTTTTTTTTTATTTATCTAGGTTTTAACCTTTGTTGAATAAAGATTGCTTTAGAAATATGTATATCAAAATGCATCCAAATCAGAATACGAAAAGTAGTTTTTGTCTCTTGTAACAATATCAGACGCTTTTTTGATGCGGTACATATTTAAGCAATGATTTTAACCGGCTTGACATTCTATTTCTTCCACATAAACACAAACTAGTATCTTAATATCACTTCTTCCATCACTACCCGTGTCATGGTTGACAGTTGTGATTGTCAGGAAGAATGATTATAAACATAACCTGAGACTGCTAAACATAAATCAAATCCAAGCGAATAACCAAAGTTTCTGTGTTATGTGCCGCGGTTATAATGTAGTTCAAGATGACACACGGGTTGATGACGTCAGTTACACGAACCGCTTCAACGCGTTGGTTTTAACCGCGGTTTTGTTGCAAGTTGTTTATTTTAGAAAAATGCTCTAATTATTTTTATTATCACCTAATAATCGGAGCTTTTTTGTCTACAACGGTGTATGGAAAGTTTAAATAAGAAACCTTTCATAATATTCATGGGAGAAATGTTTTTTTTCAGAAAAAAATTTTTAATGATGGAACCATGGTTTTGTAGCTATGATAACTTTCAATTCTCTAAAGTTTTCCGCATGTCAAAGAAAACATTTATTGATTTAGCAGAAATGATGAAAAAACGATGAAAAAAGATATTAGCAAAACCGTATACAGGTGGACATCATCCAGTGAGTTAAATGGCCATATTTTAATATTCTTGTGGTATAACATATGGCTACACAGGATACTTTGTTAAACATAGAAACTAGACTGAAAGTGTTCCCAACAACATTAATGAGTATAACTAATAAGGTGCTCCACTTTATGCTAACACTGGAGTCAGCCTGTATCAAGTTTCCCAAAAATGAAGCTGAAGTACAATAACAATATTCAATACCCGGCAAAATTCTAACTTGTCACATTTCAAATAATAACCAGAAATATAAAACTACTCCTGAGTTGGGTAAATACCACAATTTTGCGGTGATAACTGTGACATATAACAGCTGATTTATGACGTCACGGATCTTATAACCAAACTGATAACCACACTCGCTTGAGTTGTTTTATATTTCTGGTTATTATTTGAAATGTGACAAGTTAGAATTTTGGCGGGTATTGGATATTTATGTTGTACTTCATCTTCATTTTTGGGAAACTTGATACAGGCTGACTTCAGTTGTAGCATAAAGTAGAGCACCTTATTAGTTATACTCATTACTGTTGTTGGGGATTCTTTAAATCTAGTTCCTATGCTTAACAAAGTATCCTGTGCCATATACCACAAGCATATTAAAATATAAACTCACTGGATAATGTCCACCTGTATAGGGTTTTGCTAATATCTTTTTTAATCGCTTTTTCCTATCATTTCTGCTAAATCAATAAATGTTCTCTTTGACATGCGGAAAAGCTTAGCGACTTGAAAGTTATAGCTACAAAGCTATGGTTCCATCATTAAAAATTATTTTCTAAAAAAAAAACATTTCTCCCATTAATATTATAAAAGGTTTCTTTTTTAAACTTGCCATACACTGTTGCAGACGAAAAAGCATCGATTATTAAGTGTCAATAAAAATAATCAGAAATTATATACGCGCTTTTCTAAAATAAACGAGTTGCAACAAAATCGCGGTTAAAACCAACGCGCTCAAGCGATTCGAGTAACTGACGTCATCAACCCGTGTGTCATCAGGGGGGTGAAACTCATGTTGGCGAATGGGAAACAAGGCAGTGTTGCTGGTGCATAATATGACAACCATGTCGCACCCTCAAAAAATGGCGACTTATTCACAACTGACGTTGTCTGATTGGCCAGATTTAAATTTCCGGCGGGTTTTTTCCTGTGCTCTTTGCAAAAATAACCTTACTTTTTCAGCATGTCATTTTCTTAACATATCATTTTAATTAAGTAAAGTCCCTATTATGTTATTTGAGCCATATGCATTTTGTTCGGAGTTGTGAAGTATAACAATGTAAGTACACAAAGCTGTATTACCTATGTTTGTAAATACCATAAGACAAACTCCACATCAAAATTGTTTCTTTTTTAAGATGATCCAAGTCATTAGCCAGGCTTCTGGCAGATCCTGAGGAAGATCAGAGATGCAGCGGTTACTCATTTTAGGAATGTAATATTTGAAGATCGTACCTGTTTGTAGCTCCTCGTCACTCTTTGAACAGTGGAGCGTCACGAAAAGTTCAACAGCTGCTGTTGTCAACCCCTGAGGTCCTGAGAATTATCAGAAGCTCAGAGATTACTTCTGATCTAACCAAAAGACTCAACTCTGAAGGATATTTGCAGAACATAACATTTGTAAGTTTTTATATGACTCAATAACTAGTGATGATTTGTACTGCCTTTTGTCCAAGTTAGTTTTCATACTTCGTTTTAAATCAGCTATTGTTAGAGCAGTAGGGTTGATATGTAAAGCTTACTGTAATTTTAATGAAATCAAAGCCCAGTATATTGAACAGTAACATGGGTGCTCATAGGGAGCTGTGGTAACAGTTATCTCTTGATGATGATCAGCACATTGAGAAAAATTCCTGTGAGTACCCGTGGACAATTATATTATTGTTCTAATAAAAAAAGAAACCTGTGAATTGTAGTAAGATATCAACACAATTAAATTTTTTTCTAATTTTTTATTTATGCAGGTGCCAACAAAGGCTGGGGAATGAAAACATCTGGACCATAATGATGTTAATACTGATTTGTTTGTAGAAAAATGTATGAGATTTATATAACAAATATATATTTAGGTATTTGCAGTATATGTTTTTCTTCTGAATCTTTCCAGATTAGTAAGTAGATATGAGTGATCTTATAATAGCTTGTGTTATTGACGTTGCTATTTTAACATACAAAAAAAGCATTTATTCGTCAAGATAGCGCAAAATGTTCCATATCCCACCAAATTTCTATATATATATATATATATATATACAGGGTGACTTTGAAGTTGAGTCATTAATTTTCAGATAATGATTGTAGAAGGAAGATAAACCAAAATATGTGTGTAAAAATAAAAAAAAAATTTTACCTTGTTTTATAAAGTATCCTCCCGAGAAGTATTTCAGTGCGGACCTGTATTTGATCGTGAGGTCTTGGAGCACCGGCATGCCGTCTCCTGTGAGGTCTTAAGTCACCTGATTTACGAGCCCGTTGTACTACATTAACAAAGGCACGAGGGGTTGGTTGCACTCTCACTCTCACCACTATTCACTCACGCGTTACCGACTGACACTGACTGTATTCAACTGAAAATAATTGTAAAAACATCGCTCCAAATTCTTTCGCTTTTTTGTTTCCGATGCGATGAACCGATAAGGCGGATTATATCCGTTGTTGCCAAACACGAGCACCTAATATTATTATTGAGACAGGGCGGTACTCAAACTTCCAAAACGCTATAACTTTGTTACTTTAATTTAACCAGAAAAATGGTAAAGGAAAAAACATTTCTTTTGATCAGATCTACTCACTGTTAAAATAAATGACTCAACTTCGAAGTCACCCTGTATATGAGTATAGCAATCTCAGATTTATATGCAGAGCTGGCAACGTTGCGGGATATTAATGTACAATCTGGCAACCATGTCGCCGCAACCATACAAGTCACCGTGTCGCTATTGAATAGCATGGAATTAAACCTTCTTCAGTGTATATGTTTTGTGTGTGTCATTTTTAACCCTATTATAACCGCGGTATATAACAGAAATTTTGGTTATTCCCTTGGATTTGATTACATTTTGGTTTGTGCTGCTAAGTTTGACTATTTGACCTCCTCTAATCATGTCTTTGTGATCTCCTACAGGTACCGGTGTTCAAGACTACAAGATGTTGAACCAATACTAGCTGTAAAATGATTCTTATGATAAAAAACAAACCTCCCATAACAGTATTTCTAATTTGTTTATTTTTGATTGTGATAACTTTGTTCTATTTTGTTTATTACATCCGAACAGAAGAACTTATTCCAGATAGTGATAAAAACAATGTAAGACCATCATGTGTCTCTAATATAAATTCTTGCATTGTCCCTAACAGTACACATTTTAGGAATGGTCTGACTTGTTAGAACATTTCAACAAAGAGAAAAGTTGTATTAGCAATAACATAGAACAAGAATTCAACCATATATATGATGATTCAGTACCATTGACCACTGTGTATACATCTTTAAGTATAGATGTATCTAAACTATTCAAATATAGTAGGGTAGAGGGTATATTGTCTTTAACTGGTTAGTAATAAGACATTTATGCCTTACACCTACTACTTCTAAAAATATTGACAATTTTAGATTGGGTACCAAGATGTCCTAAAGAGAAGGTTTATAGTACATTGAAAATAAGATTCAGTCTACCAGATAATACAAAAAATTTTACAGAAGTATGTGCTGAAATCATTGGTCCACAAGAATACTTACCTATGTTTTCAAAGCAGAGTTGTAGTTTAAATGATGCAAAAAAAAACAAGGTTAGTGTTTAACTTACAGTGCCAAAAACAAACTGCTTTCTTTTAGTTCTAGGATATACTTTGACATGTCATACACTTGTAGCTTTGTGACAAATATACTATTTATTACTGCTACTCTTTATCCTCCATTTTGAATATGCAAAGCTTAATTTCTGACACCCTTATATCTACTACTAAAAAATATGAGATTCAATTATCTTCATTTTTATGTTTTTAGGAAAAAAATGGATATCTAACAGCAAAAGTTACAAGGCAAATAGATAATACATTTTGTCATGGAGGAATACTAGTAAAATTGCAGTTCAATACAAATATTGAAAAAAGTAGTTTTGCAAATTACTTGAGTAATGTAAGTTCAAATATTATTTTAACACATTAATATAGTTTTAAAGCTGAAGACAATATTTTTTTAGGCTGAGAAAAATGTGATCTATGTACATCTACTGTGGGCAAGTTGTCTGCTGTCATTCCTCACCATATGTATAATTGTATATGCATATTTGTATACTGAAAAACAGATAGAAGGTTATGGAGAAAAATATAAAAATTTTATAAGGAAATAATTTATTAGAACAATAATTGTGTATAAAAGTAAAAAATGTATAAACATTGTTTAAGTACAAAAATGTCTTTTATGGAATGGTATCTGTACAGATTCGTCTTTCTCACTGTTCAGTTACATTGAGTTACACATTCGTTTTCACTTGGGAAGTTATACAAAAAAAATCATGAACAGTCCATATTATTTTCTTATAAATAAATAATATTGCTTTTTTCTAATCTCACAATGAACATGAACAGAATTGATTATAAATATCTGCCTAATTCTTTATTTTCCAAGATACAAAATAAAAACAGACAGTAAATTGAGCTACAAACCTGCATGAGATATGTATTAAAAAATAGAAGCCAAACTTGGGTCTTGGATGTCATCATTGATTGATGTAATCTGCCTGAACCTGAACCATGTGTATTCAGGCATCCAAAAAATTATCCAAGATGAAATGAGACGCCATGACATCATCTATGAGGATTTGTCATGATCATATAGTTAGCTACAGCACCATGAGTCATTAGCATTTTCAATGTAGATTTCTTATTAGTGTGGAGATTAGAAACAAGCTGTGACAAATTCTTATAGATGATGGCATCATATCTCATTTCATCTGTGAAGTTTTTGGATAAATACAGTATTCGATTGGTTAATTTTATATAGAATATGTTAATCAATGGCTGTACATGAAAAAGAAATAATTGTTTCAAAATAGGCCAAAGTTGAATATACAATTTATTCCCCCCAAAAAAAAGAAGAGCATGATTATACAGGTTTTTCACTAGGATAGAATGTCAATATTTGAAGAGTTTTTTGTTAAATTCTTCTGGCAACCCAATTTTGATCAACTTGCATGTTTGACGATTAGCCAGTTTACAATATTGAGATGTATGATAAGAATACTGCAAGAAAAGTTTCATTAACTCTTGAACGCTAAGCCTCGTAAATTTTACGACGGCGATTTTTACTTTCGGCCCTCATCGTGCGGACTCGACAGATGCCGAGCTCTCCGTCTTAGTATTCGCGTCGGCAGTGGTGGTGATTATCCCGAGCGTATTGGTTGATTTTCAAGTGTAACATCTTGGCAGCTATAAGACGAGCGTCGTAAATTCAACGAAGTCTTAACGTAACTTTTGTGAAAATTGCACGACACTAAGATATAATTATTTTTTTAGGTTTTTTCTTGCGGATGTAATATTTGGCACGTACAAGTTATCTCTTACTAAGATGTCTAAGCAACTGGAAAATAACAGACCTCTAACGGACGCCGAACTAGCAGAGATTGCAGAAAACTTCATTATGGAATTGGATGAAGATAGTACCCAGGAGAACGCAAGTGAAACTGAGGATGTCCTAGAATTTGAGGATAGTGGAAGTGAGTATGTACCTTCAGACGATGATGGTGAAGAGACAGACACTCCCAGGCCAAAGAAAATAAGACTTTTACCTAAAAATCGAAACGAAAGAAATACAGGTAATCAAATATCGATAGATGATTCAGAGCCTGGACAATCTAAAAATATCGAACCAGAACAATCAGAACAACAAGAAAATGAAAATCAATACAGAAACGCGTTTAGAAAACAGAACAGTGAGAGTAGATGAGACAAAACCGTCACAAGTACGCCTTCAAGGAAAAAATGGTCATCGATGGAGCGCAGTTCCCAAATTGGCATCAAGAACTCCCCAACGAAACATCCTTCACATTTTACCAGGTCCAATAAAACATTTTGGAAATGATCCACTTGCAAATGAATTTTTCAGACAATTTATAACCGATTCTATGATTGACAAAATTGTAGTACAGACAAACGCTATGATTAGAAAAAAATCTACTCAATATAAAATAAAATCTGCTACAGTATCCAATAATAATAATAATAATAATAATAATATTTATTCACTCAATGTACAAAGATAACAAACAATATGAGTAAATAAATATAAAATCAAAACAGGCCCAATAGAAGGCATCGCCTGTACATGGACCAATAATTTAAGTTGAAACTGTAGAATGCAAATGACAAAAAAGGACAAAAATTAGCTACAGTAGATTATGTATTTAGTTGATGTTCGTATTTATGAGTTTATGAATTTCCTAGATATAGAATGTAGCCACTTTTTTAAATTTCAATTGAAACAATTTCCGAAACGTAAATCTTTTAATAATACTAATACTAATGAGATAAAAGCGTTGCTAGGATTATTGATTTTGTCTGCTTACTTGAAAAGTAACCATTTGTCATCTAAAGAGTTATTTGATGACAAAATTTGTGGAGCTGTTTTCAAGGCAGTCATGAGTCGTGAGAGATTTAAGTTTTTACTTGATTGTTTGCGTTTTGATGATAAAAACACAAAGGATGAGAGAAAAAAAAACCGGATGAATTGGCGCCTATTAGAGAAATTTGGGATGAGTTCATAAGTCAGTGCAAAAACTTATATAGACCAAGTTCTTATGTTACTATTGACGAGCAACTGCTGGGCTTTCGAGGAAGATGTCCTTTTCGGATGTACATCCCTAATAAACCGGCCAAATATGGCATAAAAATAGTCTTGATTTGCGATGTTTCAACAAAATATATGTTTGACGCCATGCCATATTTGGGAAAAAGCACAAACACGAATGGTTTGCCTTTGGGAGAGTATTATGTGAAAACATTGTGTGAAACAATTTTAGGAACCAAACGGAACATTACAATGGACAATTGGTTCACCTCCGTAAAATTGGCTGATGCTACTTGCTCCTCCATATAATCTCACTGTGGTTGGTACCATTAGGAAAAATAAACGGGAGATTCCAACAGATATGCTAGTAACCAAGAATCGTGATCCAGGTAGCTCAAAATTCTGTTTTGACAAGGAAAAAGTGCTTGTATCATATACACCTAAAAAAAATAAAAACGTTCTACTTCTGTCTACTATGCATCAAGGATGTAGTATCTCAAACACTTCAGGTAAACCAGAAATTATTGAAACTTACAACCAGAAAAAAGGATCAGTCGATACACTGGACCAAATGTGTTCAAATATGAGTACCTCTAGAAAAACTAGAAGATGGCCTTTTCTATGGAATGCTAAATATTGCTTGTGTAAACAGCTACATTTTATCCAATGCCCATAAAGCAAAACGACGTCAAAAATCAATGTCCAGAAAATCATACATAGAGTTGTATAAGACTTTAGTGACACCTTGGGTGAAAGAACGTCTCAAGATACCCACTTTGCAGCGCTCACTCCGCGAAACGATTAATAAGGTTTTGGAAGATACGTCTACTGAAAATCAACAGATTATTCCAGAAGTGGAACCAAAGCATGATGCCTCCAAAAGAACCACTTGTGCCAGTTGCCCATCAAAAAAAAGATGAATGACAACACACTATTGCTCGAAATGTAAAAAACCATTTTGTAATGAACATCGCGGCAATTTTTGTAAAACATGTGCACAAAATATATAATATTTTGTGTTCAATAAATAATACGTTTCTTTGCTGAAGTTTGTTTTAAGTACGAAAAAAATAAATAAGGAATCGTAAAATTCAGGAATGCTTAGTCTTAAGTAGTGTGAGAAATATGCTTAGCGTTCTAGGGTTAAAGAAAAATGACTGCAGTTGTGCCTTGGGTTCCTTAATTTGACCACAGAAAAAAATAATTCTAAATATCAGGTTTTCACAGTGAACAATACCTTATAAATTATAATAAGCATAATACTGTGAAAAAAAATTAATACTAAACATATTTGAACAAAATTCAAATATTCTTGACACTATTGGGCACAATATAAAATGGGCTGTATAACTTTGTTGGGGTCCTACCCAAAATTTGCTTTGAAAATGTGTATGGTATAGCCATGTATGGCATCTTGGGTCAGGGTGATGGCATGATATTTTATCTAGGATAATTTTTTGGATGTCAAAATACTGTATCTGGTTGGTTAACTTTACATAGGATATGTAATCAATGGCTGCAGATAAGAAATAATTGTTTTAAAATAGGACAAAATCGAATATACATTTCATACCTCCAAAAAAAAAAAAAGGTTAGAGCATGATTATACAGGTTTTTCACTAGGATATGATATCAATATTTGAAGATTTTTTGTTAAAAGCTTCAGAGACAACCCAATTTTGATCAACTTTCACTTTTGATTAGTCAGTTTACAATTTAGATGTATGATAAAAATACTGCAAGACAAGTTTCACTAAAATGACAGTTGTGCTGCCTTGTGTTCCTTAATTTCTCTATATTTGGAGAATAAAAAAACCAATAATTCTAAATAGCATAAGCATAATACTGGGCAAAAAAACTGAATACTAAACCATGACCGCCCATATAGCATAATATCTTCTATGTTGCGATGGTCCACTTCTTACCCAATGATTGGGTATTTTATTAAGAATTTAAGAATATTTCACTCTTTGAAGTAGAATCCCCTTGCCCCCCCCCCCCAATGGGCGCTCATGTACCAAACATATTTGGACAAAATTCAAATATTCTTGACATTATTGGGTACAATATTTTCCTTACCACTACAAGTTGTGCTTTTATATGGACTTTCAATGCCAAATGGGCTGTATAACTTTGTTGGGGTCCTACCCAAAATTTGCTTTGAAAATGTATATGGTGTAGCCATGTTTGGAGTCATGGGTCCTTCTTGCAAAATCTGTCTGCGCTTTGTTGGCATTTTGAATCTCTGTGGAAAAAAACTCTTGTAAGTATGCTTATATTAAATCAAAAAAGTACAATATAAATCCACAGGGTATAACATCCTTGAACATTTTTGAAAGGATAGCATATAAAATGCTTCTGCTTTTCAAGTAATTCAGAGCGCAGGTGGCAAGGCTGGTTAGTAACCAGTAATCTTAAAACTGTATATAATTGTATACAAAATTAAATAAAAGGCCAGCTTCCTTTTGTATTGAGTATGATATTCTTTTGAACTGGTCAATCCAATGGAAATCCATGATACAGATGTTTGAATCTTATAATCATTTGTGAATAAACATCATATAGATAGAATAACAACAATAAAGATTTGGCTAGTCACATACTTTCAAATAAAACCTTTATTGATTGGTTAATCCAGGCAAGGATTACATACCTTCATTCAAAATTGTTGGCATCAATTTTACATAATATGAACATAAACAGTTCAAAAGAATGTACATTTTAGTTGCCGAATGTACTGTGAGGGAATGAAGTTTTAGTAGACCATATAGAAAATTGTTACAAGAGAAGGCCAAAAGCAGATTGATAGCTATTTTCATACAAATGACATCTGGTTAAGGAAAAGATAAGGGAATGTCTAGCAGATGAGTCATTGTGTTTGTATTGCTTTTGTACAGTTTTCTTACTTGTGTAATGGTCCCTATAGAAGTCCTAACGGTGTTGAAAGTTTTCGTTATTCTCTCAGCACTGCTTCGTAGTACCTTTCTAGTGTTATCACTGAAGGATATCATTGACAAGATGGTTCTATCCCCGTTTTGTTGGGTTTTTTCTTCCTTGTCGCCTTTGTTCCCCTCATCGAAGGTGGTTTGTAGTTTTCTTCTGCATTTCTGTAAGCTGGAACTCCTTGTTGAGGAACCGGAAGAAGTTGAGGAGGTGTTTCTTTGAAAATTGTCAATAGAGGTGTCTTCCGGGAGCATTTTTGTTGTAAATGGACAAAAGTTAGTTTCAAACAAGGATAACCGTTACTTTTTGTTGTGAAAGTTCTTTTACGTCAAATTGAAGGAAGGAATGTCAAGAGTTACAAGTAGGGATGGCAACGATATATCCACGAATTGAAAACATCGATACATCGAACCTATAACATCGATGGTTGTATGTTAATATATCGATGCATCGACATGCGCATAAAAACAAATTGTTCCAACAGTTCATGTTCCGGTTTATTTTATCATCTTCGCTGTTAAAGTTTCTTGGAATATTCATGGTATACGTAGTCATGCCATAAGTTCTGTCCCTCGTTTTCAAACAAGTGTAGACCTGTTAATACTTGTCCGATTGTTTACATTGTGGTGTCAGTTGATTAAGCGCTTTTCGGGTAATTACATATACCTCAGTTTGTATTGATCTCTCGAAGCATAACGATGGAGTGGGGCAAGGCAGAGAACCGTATTGCAGTGATAGCTTTACATAAGTGTAATCACAGTGCTTGTCAGATTTTTGAACTCTTACGCGGCCTTCAAATATCGCGTAAATTTGTGTCTAGGACCATTCAGCGGTACAATGAGACGTCCTCTGTTGATGACAGGCCAAGAAGCGGAAGACCTCGTCAAGTAAGGACTCCAGCAGCCATCAAAGCCGTAAAAGCCAGGATTCAAAGGAATCCACTCCGGAAGCAGAAGATCCTATCCAGGGAAATGAAGATTCCTGTCCGGACGATGTCGCGCATCATTAAACAAGACCTAGGGCTAGGGGCTTACCGGAGACGTACGGGCCAGCGACTTACGGCCACCTTGCGACACATCAGGGCGACAAGATCCAAGAAGCTCTTGGAGAGGTACGCAGCTGGGGGATTCCGAAAGATTTTGTTCACGGATGAGAAAATCTTCACCATAGAAGAAAAATTCAACCGACAAAATGACAAAGTGTATGCAAGGAGTTCACAGGAAGCTTCGGAGATCATTCCGAGAGTTGAGAGAGGCCACCACCCTGCGTCAGTCATGGTTTGGTGGGGGGTGTCCTACGAAGGGGTCACTCAGCTCCATTTCTGTAAACAGGGCGTGAAAACAAAAGCGGCAAACTATCAGAGCGACATACTGGATCCTATCGTCAAGCCTTTAAGTGGTACATTGTTTGCCAACCAACACTGGGTCTACCAGCAGGATTCCGCCCCCGCTCACAAGGCTAAGAGTACGCAGCGCTGGCTGGAAAGCAATGTGCCAGAGTTCATTGCTGCGGAAGATTGGCCCTCAGGGAGTCCGGACCTCAATCCTTTAGACTACAAGTTGTGGGACCTGCTAGAGCAGTTGGCCTGCTCCAAAGCCCACCGTAATATCGAGTCCCTGAAAGCGGATTTGATCCGATCAGCGGCAGCTATTCCTTTGGAAGCTGTGCGTGCAGTGATAGATGAGGGGCCCGCGAGATTGAAGCAGTGTGTGAAGGCCAAGGGGGGACATTTTGAATAAAACTGTTTGATTATGAATTCTAAAAATGTTGTCGAATAAATAATATCTTTCATATAAATATATCTTATCTTGTTTCATTTTTATCATGAGATTATCATGGGACAGAACTTATGGCACGACTACGTAGACAAGCTTAAGCATACGCAGCTGATACTCCGATGTCGGGTTAACGGTTACATATATAACATTTGGGAGTCTTGGCCTCTTGTTTGCGTTTATGCCTCTTTGTTTTACGTCAGTATTTTGTGGTTTACATTTCGAACCAAAAAAATTATAGCCATAAAGTGAAGGTAATTGCATTTTGTTGTGCATTTGGCCATTTGTATTGTATTGTTCGCCTGATGACGAGAAAGTACTCAGTGAACATGATGACGCCTAAATGACGTCATTATTCGATTACTTTTGGCCGGAAACGTTATTGACTGAAGAATGACTTCTTTTTGACGACATTTTTACGACGAAAACAAGACGTCCTTCAAAAGGCGTCTTGACGTCTTTTTTAGGACAGTCAGTACTGAAAAATCAACACTTACCAACAATAAAAATATAGACTTTTAATGAATAGTAAGGTAAACTAGATATCCAAATAATATTGTTATTTATACAAAAAAGTTTCAGGAATTCTTCGACCAAAAATATTTTATTAATATGACTTTTCTAATAATAATATTGCATGTTCAGATATTTCATTCCATTTTACATCATGTTTTATTCCAGTAATTAACAAATCTATTATAAACCTCCGTGTATAACAGTAAACGTTTTACTAGGAGATTTGTAATCAAGCGCGGTTTTAATTAAAATCTTGAACGGTATATCTTTCAGCCGATCATCAGCAAAGAAGCACAAATAGTGTTTAGCAATGGTTCGGCCATTTCGTTTTATAAATCTATGGGTTGAATTTTGATAAATCGCTACAAACAAATTCTGAACCATCGGAGGACTGCGACGTGCTTGAGACTAAAGGGTGTTTTTTAGATCTTTATTAAGCACTTCGATACACTTGCTCGTGAAGAATTGCGGAAGTGATAACGACGTCTCGGAACGAGAGGGTTCAAGAATATGAGTTTCGGCGTTTTTCTACCACCCCGGAACTTATTTCTTGTGGGGCGTCGTTGTCATATCCTTAATTTTACAGGAGCATTTGGATATACCGCGCGATTATTTTTGCGAGCGACTGTACGTCATATCCGCGTCATATAGACGTCATATGGGTTTTGTATTTAGTCTTTCATACGATAAACTTTGACATCATATAATGACGTCAATTGGTTGACATTAAACCGTTATAATGATGTCATTTCTACGTCACTTTTGTTGGTCGGCGTACGTCAGTAGTGCCTTAAAAATGAAGTCACTGTGTGCACTCGGTATTGTAGTCGCGAATAATTTTGAAAATGAGATATTATGTTTTTTGGATTGTCATATATGACATCATGAAAAACCATGTCACTCATTTCCGTCAGCCTGTCTATCTGTCGGTCTGTCCGGTAATCTTTGTACCGTCTATAACTTGGAACGTACTGCTCGGATTTGGATGAAGGTTACTACTATCCCAAGGACGAAAAAGTTTTGTAGTTTTTGAAAACCGGTCCAGGGGGGCCGGGGCTAGGAGCAAAAACACGAAAAGAATAAAAATTGCCCAAACTGTTTCTTGACGTTCCTGAGGCTCATGACCATTTTCAAAAAAATTTTGTGAGGTTGAAAATCGAGGGTTGTAGGGAGTGGAGGAAGGTGTACCTCATTTTGTTGGCGGCAGTATATTTATGTGTTTCCAGTCCCAGTAATTTTATAAATCGTCCTCGTACATTTGCCCTTATAACTTAGAGAAATATTTATAGACGAGGCACGCGATCTGTCGGGACGATGCGGTCGACGCCGACTTTCATACGCCGAAGCCTGGCGTACGCCTGACAGCATCACCGGTAGACCGGTACTATTTACTATTCGTCATTGTTCGTCAGAGCCGTCCGGTGGACCTTAGATCTTAGTTAAAAGTTTCTTCGGTCTGTTAGACTGTCAGGTCTGGCTACCCAGATATCAAACTTGTTTAAGGGGAAAAGGGAAAGAAGGAAAGAAAGTAAGGAAGAAATAGAGCAAAGAAAAGAAGTAAATCGTTTGAAATAGCATAAGCATTATTGCTTTGATTACGCGAATAATTCTGTAACTACAAAAATAATTTTGATCGGTTTTGTATACTGAAATAATTTTGACAGAGGGTTGCTGTGCGATTCGCCGTTGTGCCTGTTGTTTTACATAATCCCTTAGATATGGGATATCAAGATCTCTGTGAATGGTCTCATTAGACACGTACCAAGGGGCGTTAGTGATTGTGCATAGCGTTCTATTTTGCAGGACTTGCAGTTTCTGCATGTGCGTTTTCGCAAGAAAACACCAACCCGCGCATGCGTAGGTGATTGCTGGTCTTATGACCATTTTATACAACCGAATCTTGTTGATCTTAATTTTGAAATTTTGCACAACAAAGGATAAGGGTGCCGAAAGGTAATTTGGAATTTCGTTCTCAAAATATCAGTGCATGTTCTGCCAGGTCAACCCCTTGTCAATGATGACTCCAAGGTACCTAACAGATTGCTCCCATGGTATACGAGTTCCATCCACTGATATCTCTGATGGGGCACCGCGACGTTATTTAGTACAATCGATTGCCCGCGTTTCCGAAGTATTAATTTTGATCAACCACGATCCGCCACTCCAATATCTCCTCCACCGCACTCTGCAGCCTGTCGTGATCTAGGTTACCAGGACAAGACTGAGCTAGCAGTGCAGTGTCGTCAGGATAGAGATAGACTTTACAGTTGCTGGGGCAAGGGACGTCATGTATATGAAGTGAATAAAGGATTGGTCCTAAGACCGAACCCTGAGGAACACCGGCTCTTACGGGCCGTGTTGTTGACAACACATTGTTAATTTTGATCCGAAATTTCCTTCCTCCGAGAAAATATTTCAACAGTTTTAGTAGCCAAAATGGAAAGCCTTTTTGGATGAGCTTATACAAGAGGACCTTGTGCCACACCTTGTCAAATGCCTTTGAAACATCTAAAAGCAAGATTCCAGTACTTTTGTTGAGTGTGAACCCCCTGGTTACATGCTCCACCAGTCTAACTGCCTGTAGCCCCGTACTATACTCGGACCGAAAGCAGAATTGCATGTCGGGAATGACATGGAGATCTGACGAGAAATTCTCAAGGTGATGATAAATCACCTTTTCAGTGAGCTTAGAAGGAGCTGACAGAAGGCTAATGGGACGGTAATCCTGGAGGAATATCGAACCTGCCTTCTTTGGGATCATGATGACTTCAGCGATCTTCCACGCCTTAGGAAAGTAATGAGGTCTGAGCATTGCATTGATTATTGCCACCAGATAAGTCAAAGCCTTGAGCGAAAGCAACTTCAGTGCTTTTTTGGTGATTTGATCCTCTCCAGGCGCTTTACGCACATTTAGGTCCTTAATGTGGCCTTGGAGCTCTGCTGGTGAGCAAAACGGAATCTCAGAGGATTTCGTTGATGTGTCATGCAGAGATCCATCTGAAGAATCTTCCGTAGGAGGATCTCCTGAAAAGGAGTCACCGATGTTAGCACTG